TTTATATTCTAAGGCAAACGTAAAAAAGTTGCAGGGTTTTAATTTGGCAAAAGGAAAAAAAATCAGGAGCACAATCAGATAAAAAGCTAAAATCATAATGGAAAATCTGCCGAAAAATGGGGATTTTGAGACTCAACAGTCAAGAAAATCCACGACCAAACACATTCAAAGTCAGAAACTGTGGAGGAAAGTAATGACTAGGAAAATAAAAGTCCAAAACCCTAGAATTAAAATGATCATCTAAAATAGTTTAACACCTTTTTGTCAGTTTTAAAAAAGTCTATATTTAAAATCTTCAAACTGGCTGTATTCAATTAATGATGTWAAAAAAATGCATCCTTCAAAAAACAAAACATTAAATTACAACATAAATGTGATCCATAAACAGTTTAATTTTGACTCATGTGGTCTGAAGATCCTACCGCCGAACACTCCCAGGTCTTGAGCTAAAACCAAAAGATAAAATAAATGCTTTACATCAGGAATTGTGCTTCATCTCCTGTAATTTGGACTAGGAAACACGACAGATGAAGTCATTAAAAATACAGGTGCACATGCAAATTACCCAGGATACGGGGGAGGTGGGGCATCATGAGGTCCATTTCTTGAGATTGCCTCATCATATGTGGGGAGACCACCAGGGGGGTCATCTACATCCGGAGGGGGAAGCACAGGCTGTCTGGAGACCTCCTCTAATCTATGCATTATTAGAGAAGCGTTGCTCCTTCTGGGACGGCCCTGAATGGAACTGTGGGGTGGGGGTGGGGGGACATGTTACCATTTTGTTATTCACAATAGGACCAACATGAYGCATTTAAACACAGAGCAGAGGAAAAATGTCCCATTTGATTCTTCTAGAACCAACATAAGGCAAACAAATTCTTCACTATTGCATGTGCTATAAATAGAGTGACAAAAGGCTGTTACAGGTCTGGAAAAAAGCTTGGTACTATTTAAATAATAAACTAGTGAAGTTTTTTTTTTATCTTCACAAACAAAAACAGAGAATCCACTTCTAGCTTCTAATGTGTGATCCATCCTGGATAAACAAAAGAAGTTGAAGAAACTGGATCAACGGTTTTATTTTATATTGCTAGGGAGTGGCAGTGCAAATGAGCCAAGACTGTAAATGTTTATAAAGTGTTGTTAATGCTTGACACAYGTCGCTCTATAAACAATACGTGAAATGAAATGAAAGATTTGGTCCAAGTTTGAGAATCTGAAACATGCCATTGTATTTTTCTGAGGAAGGCCTCCTTTAATTAAGACTGTTTAAAAAAAAATTATTAGCTTTAGTCAKTCAGGTCATTTACAAGAATGTGTTGAGTCTGACAGAGATAAAAGTTATATATATACATACATACAGAAAATGTGCAGGTCCTAAGTTTTACTATGGTGTATCCCTGTAGGCRTTAAACTGTCATGTTTCTTGTAGACATATTTGTAAATTATCTAGATACAGAAATCTAATTCACTAATTTTTGTATTCAGCTGAGTCCATTCAGCTTCAGGGACAGAAAGTGAAGATAGTAGTATTTTTTTCATGCAGATACATTATGAAAAATCGTAGTATTTTTTTATGCAGATACATTATGAAAATACTCCATGATGTTTTCACAACAAAGTCAGGAAAAAGAACTAAGACAAGTCATTTTTTTCCTCCTCTACTACTCAACCTTTGACTCACCTTGCGCGACTAACGTTGCTCTTTTTATCTTTACAGAAATACCAGATCAAGATGGCGATTAYAAAAACGACCACTGCAGAAGAAATGAGTCCCACCAAAAGAGCCGTCACATCGACCCGAGTGGAGCCCGATGTGTGATCTGTTGATTATCAGAAATCAGAAAACAACATTCAGAGGGTTTCATATAAAGCTGCAGGCTAGACGCTACATCAGTGGTTCCCAAACTTTTTATCTTCTGACCCACAAAATATCCATGATAAAAACTTGTGACCCCAAATATTACTGGTCTGAGTACAAAAACTTTGTTAATAACCCAAAAAAAAAACACAGGCTTTGTGACAAACTAAACAGCTTGTACACAAATATAAATACTTATTCATATTTATTT